AACCTATCAGATTGTCTTATGACCATCATCACCTCATCCGCTTAGGTGCGATGAAATGTTTAGACTGCGTTTGGCACTCTACGTTTCGCAACTGTGGATGTTACCATTAAACGGTATACAGATCTAAACTGAACTTCACCAAGTATCAGCATTTTGATGCTGTTCCCAAGGTAATCCGTCATCCTACTAACTAACCGTTCTAAACATTCTTCGCGGGAACATTATTCGTGAAAACTTGAAATTTAAACAACAGGTATCGACCAAACTCGTGCATCACACTAACGTTTTTCGCGTTTGTTCCTGCAAACGCTTAGCCTTTCCAACCTCATTCACAGGGTGGTGGTGGCCCGGTGGTAACGTGATGTTGGGACGTGTGTTCGAACCCCACCACCATCGCCTGACTTTCCCCATGGCAGCTATTTGGTTGGCTACCTCCCCCTTTCTGAAAATTGTATCATGGTGTATTCAATAAAAGGAAGTAAAATTGAAAGAAATGAAATGATATTGCCCCACGTCGGACGCAACATCTGTAATAATAATCTTTGCTTCTGCCAGCCGAGTGCCATTGAAATCAACGATCTTTTCGATTTTGACGATGGTTGCTGGTTGTAAAATAACAAACCGCAGTACTTTACCCTATCCGTTCTCAAATTACATTTATTTTCACTTTTCTTGGGAAAATACCTTGGAAATGAACACAGTTACCTGACCAAGACAATTATCTACTTTTCAATTGCTGTTTAATCTATTTTATATACAAATCATTGAAACTTCCCAATGGGCTACTTTGTTGGTACACTCATTCCCCATTATGAAGACAAGTTGATATGGTTAGATTAAAACTTCCTCAATGTTGTGTTTTTATCCCTTGTTACGTTGGTCTCACAAATAATTTCAATTAAAAACAGCGTGTACTGTAGCTTATTTTTGTAATTAGTTTCACCTAACGATTCCCATCTTGATTTATGAGTATGATCATATGTAAATATTCTAGGGAATGTGTCAAGGTCAAAATATACCTTGGTCAATGATTCTAAGCAGTTTGCTTTCATTCACAGGAATAGAAGAGACACGAATAATAATGGCTAGACCGCGGTGTAAGACTTTAAAGTCCTTTTTGAGTAAGCCAGGAAAAATGACTGGGAAACAGTAAAGTAAGATGGGAAGACAGACTGATAAACATAGGTATAAATAACTAACTGGGATGCACGAAACTGCCTGAGCTTTCGGATTTGAAATGATAGGCGCCGCAAATTACCAAGGCCGTTTTGGATTTGGGTTGACCAATGAAGGTTGATGAAGTTCACCCTGGATAAAAGATTGCTATTAATCACTGTAGGGTCTATCGGATATGTGGAGCGAGCAAAACTAAATAAACACTTAACAGATTTACTGGGGTTTAAGGTTAGCCCCGATGAGGAGGAGAATGACTGAATTTGATCAATATTCTCGTGAAAGAGCTTAGATAAGAGTAAGAAGTAATGGGCTGGCATAACACGACGTCATCTGCATATTTCAAAATTCGTGCGGGGGAACGCAGGGAATATCACAAATATGAGTGGAAAATAAGTATGGGGATAGCACAGCTCCTTGAAGAACCCTGGAGTTATTAACTAAGGGTTTTGATGTGGCCTTCCACAATCTAGTGCTTTGTTTTCTATCAGTAAAGTAGGTAAATAATCAAGCTAACAGCTGCTTGGGGCATTCGAACGATTCCATTTTTTGTAACAACTTAGATCTAGGAATGAAATCAAATGCAGAAGAGCAGTCCAGAAAAACACTGAACAGACTTAACAGAGCTGTTCAAAGACTTAGTGATAAAATGAATGGAGGTGAAGATTGCGTCCAAGGTGGATCTATTAGGCTTGTAAATAAACTGTAACGGATCACTGGGAATGTTTATAGACTGCTGAAGGTGCTTGAGGATGGCCTTTTTAGTCAGTTCAAAAGCTGAAGATGTTATTGCTAAGGGGCGAAAACGTTTGGAAAGGACAGGAGATTTGGATGCTTTGGGGATTAGTTCAAATAAACCTATTTGAACTAGCCGAAAAGTTGTACACGCGTTCTTTTGCTGCTCCACAGAACGCAGCAAACAAAACGACAATACAAAAAAGACTCCATTTGTATAACTGAATTGGATGTTTTAGGGTTTAGATAGCCATTGATATCATGGGCTCCCTTCTCCATTCTTCGAAAACAATTGACTTGTTCGTTCTAGCTTTTTAGAGAGGGGTTTTGCGCAGTAATTTTTCAGTGAACAATGAAAATGGTCTTTGAAATATCCCTTAGCGGTGTGAGAATCAACTCTACCGTTTTAAGCATTGTGTATTTTAATTTAAGGGCAAGAACTACTGCATCGCAGTAATTCATATGATATTATATTATTTCTGCTTCATTATAACATAAATATGATGATGGTGTTATTCATCTTTCTTTACAATAACTTCAAAGTTCCTCAAATATATACTTCGAAATTTTATTTCCAGTTCTCTACATGAGGATTATGTCACGGTCTTCATGTTCTATCGATCAAAGTAACGTTGACACTTCAAAAAAATAGTTGTTTGAATACATTGCAAGTGACTAATGGAAGATGTGATTCAATTTCAAAGCGGATATTCGTCGTAGGGTTGATGGATTCGCACTACTGATGAGACCGAACCAGGTCAAAGCAGCTGTCCAGTGGTTCCTAGTTTTCCAGTTCACGCTTCATTTGCTACATAAACGACAAATTTTCCCTTTTTAGAACGTTTTTCCAGTTTCTTAGGTGCATGGTGCTATGTCTATCTATCAGAAACTGATAACATAATCCCCTAGCAATTAAATGTGGAATTATATTTAAAATTAATAAATATATTCCCGTAGTAATCGAGAAAAGCAATAAGCTTTTCTCGATTACTACGGGTTTTTGTAGTATCAGTACCCAGTAGGTTGATGAATAAGATATCACCTATAGCTATGTGATTCCACTATTGTTGACCGAATTGAGTTGGGCAGCAGTCATGATTTCGTTCAGAATTAACCAACAAACGTAACAACTGCATTAATTCATAAAATACATAAAGTAGAAGTAAACTTAAGTAAATATGGCGCCTCTTAATCTGTCCATAAAAGTGGAATGGGTGTTTATGGAAGTACCAGAGAAAATATTACCGGAATATACCAGCGGACATATTTAATAAAAAAGTGGTTTGGCGAATAAACTTACTTTCGATGACACATCAACTGGATAATATGTCACATTTTATATAACATCATTTATAAAACATATTCCTTTCGATATTTGATGCTGTTGCGACCTAATGAATGTCATACAGTGAACGAAAGTTCAAAAGTATCTTTTAACTTAAATTGGAACGAGCAGACCTATTCAATGAGACTGAACCAGATAGCAGATGAAACAACAGTTACTGATTGTGTTACACAATGAAACCCGTTTCGTCACTTGGCGAGTACCGCAAAAGCGAAGGTATTTTCGACCACCTTGAGAGCAAGGTTTTTTCATCGTCAAGCGGACTGTGGTTTATACAGGACATTTTTATTCGTCTCCAGCATTTTTACATTTTGGTAAATGTAGGTTTGTTCCCATTCAGAATCTCTAGTGTTCTTCTAGTTTACTGGTTGACTGATTCAGTTGACTTATTTTGCAGTTATCTGAACAATGGTGAATGTACTTCGTTCAACCCACGATTTTCGCTTGGCATTTTACTTTACGCGTTGTTCAAAACCATTCCTGATAGTATTACTTTCGAGGTTATGTTAAATCACGACAGTAATTGAATCGCTCATTGGTTTTACGTTCGGTGTTATCCTTTCATTTTAAAATTTCCGTGGTTTCAAAGAAATAAATAAAGACTCCAAACACCACTTTTGTTCAACAGACCTGAGAGACAAATGTCGGCGCCCATTACCATGTTTACCCAGTTCAAAAATGCCAAAACTGAGATGGACAATGGAGCAGAACAAACAAACAATAAGCCGAGAGAAGGTGCATCATNCCCCAAACGGAAAGCTCGTTTCGAAATGCACTGAACAGTCTCAGTCCCTGTCAATCAAAAGACCACCAACACCAAACAGCCAAGTCCCCACGACCACAGTTCGAACGCTTCTACCTTCTGATCTTCATGCTTCAAACCGTAACTATCGAGCGGTTACACCCTGCAATTCGACGTTGGTACGGAACAATCCAAACAAGCAAGCCATTCAGGCAGTGAACGCTCAGAATATAACTGATAACACGGATGTGGTTAAGCGCACGGTTCCAGACAAACGTCTAAATGATGGGATTTCTCTGATACCACGAGCACAAAATTCAATACGACCCCCTGGTGCATATCCAGTCCGAGGTATGTGTGGCTAATGGCGGTTATCTGTGAAGGAGAGGCTGAGAATATTTGTTTTGTTTCGAACAAGACATCAATAAAACTACTTAGTATAATACAATTGGACTTCAATGAACTAGGAATATTATGTTTTATTTGCGTTATTCATAAATGTCTTGTAACCATGCAAACATTCAGTTTAACACCCAGCAATTAATAAATTCCATTTCGTTGCATACGAAGCATCTGAGTAGGAGCGCCAGTCAGTTTTCATAATATTCCTATTACTCTATATTGATATTTTTTCCTAGCATCATATGACCATGACAGATTTGAAAAATGAAGACTTACCAAAGGTCCAATGGGATATATTTAATGGATCACCAGAATGAAGGTGGTTTTCTAATTTTTCCTCTAGTGCAATATAAGACTGATTTCGTCTGCACGCTTTTCAACTAAGTGCGATACATTTGCACAGAATGATGCCCTGGATAATGAATGTGACATGATCAGAAAATGGGTACAATCTAACGGATGTCCAAGAAGCATTCCGAATTCAGCAGTATACGGGAAAGAAGACCAGGTGGAGATGTGAGAGTAGTCCTAAAACTGCTCCTGTAGTTGACGATATAATCTGGCTGGTGACTAAGCACTTAAAATCGACCCATTGTTGTTTTCACAGTCACCCAGTTGACGGCACCCTCGGTGAAAGAATTGCTGTCTTACCGCGCCATATTTAGTTATAACTATAATACCAAGTGTGGATGTTCGGTTATCTAAATTAACCGAACAGAGAGACAAGTGTATCCCCGAGCAACCGAGCACATCCTGGTTTGGCTTCAAAAACCAATGATTGGAAAATATGATGACCCGATGACCCATAGGAGACTCAGTTAATCCATCACCCAACACCTGGTCGAAAGGAAGCACTGTGTAATGCGATGTGATGCGTTTAGAATCCTCTACGAAACAAACAGCACCACTGTTCCGAAATACGTCGAGGTTATGATAATTCAAAATTACCATCCCCAACTGAATTAACAGCGTGCATCGCTTATCACTCTGGCGCAAACTTGATAACCAAGAATTTTGGTGGGTGCCCGCAATATTTATCCGCCGATGATTCTGTTATTTCTCACCATATAATAATGATCACATAAACTGCGGTATGCAAATGTACGGATTCACCGTGCCAACTTGTTTCATCNCCTCTCGATTCGAACTTCTAAGGGGAAATAGTGCATCCATTCATCAGAAACTATTACAATTAAAAATATCAACTTTTGAATTCATATACAGGGCTCACGTACTCTTTAAATATAATGATATTCTCAGTGGGCAAACGGTCACGGGCGTGAATCAGATCTATCAGGTAGGTAGTATTGTACTACTTGTAGTAAAGAAAACTATTGAAGTCATCCGATCTGGTTCATTAAGTTTATTTGCGGTATGTCAACTGAAATCCAATAAAATCAATCTTGATGAATTATGCATCAAAAGTACCACTCACAAATTCGTGATCTCTTTCTATCGTTTAATCTATGCTAGCCAAGGCGCATAACAAACCAATCAGTTTTTGTTTTGGACTGTATCACTCTTAAAATTCTTGCAAATTTAATGTATCCTTCTGGTGAATTCAAACAATTTTTTTAGTCGATTAATGGATACAAGCTTCTTTCATTTTTTCCATTGTGAAAGTTTGAACAGCCACGGTGGGATTTGATCAATCACTTGGATAGCTATACTTTTGTACAGCGCATCCTGTATCAGCCCATCTACGAGGTTACACAAGTAGCATTGGTCTTTTCTTGTTTGATTCACCCAGAAGTTGAAGCTTATGGGTACGTCATGCGTGAAAGCAATCTGCATTTGTGTTTGTTTTCTTTGCAAAATATTCACTAGTCTGCCGTACTGAAACGTCCAGCGCTCAATATAAGAATGAATGCGCGTTCATTTGCTTTGTTCTCTAGTATGGGAGTCACCCTGTTACAGTAAGAGAGACAATTTGATGAACAAATGGAAGAAAGAGAAAGAATTATTCAAAGAGAATTGTCTTTTCTTTGACAAATCAGTGCTCTTTATTACGGTCAAGAGTGTTCGTATTTGAAACAGTACAGAATGAAGTCCATATTTATCTAATTTGTATAATGCCTCGGCATTAGTAATATACACGCCACACCCCTTCGTTCGATCCACAATCAGGTTATGAGTCTTCAAAACAGAAATGGCGTTCAACTTTGAATGATTCTGCTCCTAAAGTGATAACGACTGTAACGACAACTGCGAAACCGCAAACAAACGAACTTCAGCATACATTTTCCACAAAAGCTTGTCCAATAAATAATGGATTGAAAAAGGAAAGATCGGCACCAAACGATAAACAGAATGGCATTTCCAACGAACAGAGAACACCAATTCAGGTGATCAGTCATTGGCCTTCGGCGACAAAACTCGCCGATACCGCATTGCAAACGTCCAGACCCCTTGCAAGCTCATCCTCCGTGGTCACGGACAGACCTACCAGCATTATGAACCAGCCAAGAGATTCAAGTCGTGTGACTATTATCCGCGCAGATCCCAACGACTCAACCGTTAATAGTGAGCTCAGTGATTTTGACAATGAGAGCGTGCACCAATTTCCTCAGTTCCCACCAACTACTGGTCCTCCTGTTTCGCATCGTGGTTCATTTTTGCTTTACTCAAAACCATTGAATGAACGGGTATTGAGCACCTTATCAGAAGATGTAGGCTGGAGTGGTCCGGATCGTCATTTGACATTTACGCAGCCGCGCAACTCGTGTTGTACCGGAAATAATTACGCTCATGGTCTGGTATACAATTCCATGGGAAATTTGTCATCCGTGCCTTCAGTGGAATACCATCATATGGTCCAACGCCTACCTTCAAACGCCTCTTATTCAGTAAGTGATATGCCAATCAGTGTCTGTAAACCTAAAGTTTTGCACTTGGTAACTTAATCAACTGCTGGAAAAAACATTTTTATCACTTACCACGTTGTCGCTGTATGTCTCATGATAAATCAATTTCCTCAATGGCCATGTGTCTTGAAAAAGTCTCCAGTTATTTACGTCAATTATAGGGCTCTATGTAAATAGCGCTTCAGAACCTATCTTATCTAATCATCAACTTATATTAGCAATTAACAAAACCTTGATATACGCTTTTATCTGGAATCATATAAGGATTCCGGGTTCTGTATAAATCGGTATGAAACCGAAGGCAAACATAGCATGGTCGTGAACAAATCTTATTTGTTCTACAGACTGAAGTGTAAACAATACATTTTGTTGGCGATGCATCGTTATTGAGTATTAGCTGCTTTTCATATCCTTGGTTTTANTTTAAGTTTACTTCTGATGAAGCAATATGATACCTCCAGCAAAAGATGTCAATGATCGAGAATGTCGGAAACTTCCTTTATCTTCGATCTGTTTCAATAACAAAATAAAACAATATGAGCAAAATTGATATTAGTCATCAATTTTGCGTGCTCTAAGTCAGCTGTCTACACACATTAAATATATTGAATGTTTCTATAAAAATACCATATATGGACATTTACACAACTACATGGGTTAAGACGGAAAGTACTGGGTCTTTGAGCCGTTACCAAAAATATTCGGGTATGGGTGGACGAGGAGGGGGGGAGTAATAATTACAGAGGTTCAGTAAAGTGGATTTTGGCATAGAACCAGTTACGTAAGGGAAAAGGATTAACCGTGGAGGAAAGAGAGCTGAAAATGATTACGCAATACGAAACAGATGCAACCAGAAGCGAATTAGAACGGATGTAGAAAAGTAACGGAGTAGGAATCTGGTCAATTCGTTAATTACACAATAAGAAAATTAGAAGGTTGAAGTGTCAACGATGAGGCAATGGAACGGCTGAGATAATGGGTAGGAAAGAGGAGAGGAATTACCATGGTATTAACAACTGCATCACAAAGGCCTGTTGTATGCATAGTTCAGAATTTAAACGGCTAATAACGATCACTTTGGCAAACCTAAGCCTCCTTTGTCTTCCAATTTTGAGTATAACGCGGAAAGCTTTGCGTTTGTCAATGCAGTGTCCGGTATCCAGTAAATGTCACGCCACCGTGCTTCCTGGAAGTTTTCCTCCTAGAATTGATAAGTTATTCGAAACATGCTCACTCATTCTGGTCGAAAGCCGGCGTTCAGTCCTTGTGACATACCGCGATCCGTAAGTACATTGAACAATATAAATGCGATTGGCGGTGACTGAATCGTTGGATCCGTCTGTGCTTGACCGAATTAGTGAGTTCATTGTCCTGTGAATCATAATCAGCTTCGAGGCAGGATAGGCATACTGAACTATACTTCGAAGCCGACGACCAACCCGTGCAATTGAATCATCTCCTTTAAATGGTACATCAATGAAAACTGGTTTCTTTTTGACCGTAGTGTACGCTGGTCTGGGAATGGTAGGTGTGCAATTTTTCTCGACAAAAGGTAGAGGAAGCCGTTAGTGGATAAGACATTCGTTAAGTTCACTTTCTGATACTTCGGACTTCGCAGGACAAAAACAGGGTTCTTACCAGTCCAATCTTATAACTTAGAGGACAAAAGCTTTGGAAATGTAAATAATGGCCCGTTCATGTATACTTAAGATGAATTGAAGCCAGGAGTGNTTTCTTGTCAGTTGTAGGTCTAGGAATAATAACGAGCCATTAGTTTCACATTCTAAAGTGAATTTAATATAGTTGTACATCGTGTTGGATTTGTTGAACAAAGCCATAACATCTGTTTTGCTTGAGGCTAATTCTAGTGTGTCATCCACATCCTGAATGTACCCTACGAATTAACGATCTGACATCGGTTTATACAGATGTAATTTCCGTGCACATTGGTTGCCCCGTTTGAAGTTCATTTTTTTAGCAAGAACCCGGATGCACCTAGTCCCCTAGGATGGAGAAATAAGCTTTTGATTGACAGACATCAATCGTTGAATGGACCTTGTTGGTAAATAAATGCAGCTAAAAAGATAGCTTTATAAAAATAAATAAACAGAAGTCTCTTTACAATTTCACTGGCCGTCAAATTGTACATCCATGTTTTTTGGTTAATATGATGTATCAAATTAGCATGCAGGTTATCTACAGTACTATGTGAATACAACAGAATCACAATCACAACTGAATATGTACGTTCAACGAAAGAATTCACTACAATCATATAATTCGTTCTTTCGCTTCAGAAACAAAAATCACAAGTTCGCCAAATGAAATATATGAACCAATACAAATCAACACCAGATATATTTAAAGCCACCAGGATTCATCCACCTACAAAAATTCCCTTCAGATCGACATCTCAGGACCCGAAAGTAAACGGTTCGCTCAAAGAACTTTACGATATGCAACCAGGCATGCAACGCAATTACCGTTATGGCGGTTCGGTGAGTATTATGTGGGAATGATTTTACTACTCATGAGTAGACACTTCTGCTTTTCGTTATAAAGGGGTATTTGAACTACCGCTTGCGGATAGCAAGACACTACTTTATAATGCACATACTAAAGACATTTAAAGAAAAATCTGGATTTTCGCTAGAACCTTCGTGTTTCCGCAGTCAGTTATTTTTGCGTATGCGCATAATATTAAAAACCTGATCCAGGCATTATGTTTGTTCCAAACTAAGTTACTCACTGACTTTCTAAGGGCTACTGACCCCATCAATTGTCATTTTGTACAGGCAGGAAATTGCAATAAACAATTAACTGAAAAGCTGTTTTATTGTTTGTCGTCATTTTGTGATCCACGAAATTGAGGAATAAATACCAGATGACCGTAATGTTTTAATCTGAGCTGAAGTATCGTATGCAACTTGCGTAGTTGTCGAGTTAAAATTCAATCAAGTATGAATTTCATTGAAGTATTTGTTATATTCATAATGAAAGGCTCAAATGGAACACACGATAACTATTTTCCTTCTGCGCAAAGTAAGAAGCGACAAAATTAAACATTCATCAGTTTGTCTAACTCTCAGAGAAAATACGCACAACAGTACCATTTGTTTTCATTGCTAACATCACTTTTCCATCAATATTATTTATACCAACGTTTCATACACATTTAGCCTTCTACAAGGTAACAAATTTCTTTGTGGTTCAAAACACCCTTTCCCAAATGGTACTTGTTATAGAATACGGATATTGTTAAGCATTTATATTTAGACTAGGTAGGGTTCAGGTGTTAATATCACATCTAAAATCATTTATTGTTATAAGCAAATTACTGTACATTTATTTTAAAGCATTTAATGCTTCCATATACCTCCGATTGCCTAAAAATGCATATATCTTCGTTTTTCAAGTGTATTTCAATAATTGCAGCGATGAATAATAATAAATACAGTGCAATTTAAAATTTGATATCTAGGAAAATAACCCTCCAATAAAGAACATATATTGATGTGGTTTTCTAATAATCACTATTACATATAGGCTCATAAATTAAAAACGGCCACATCAAGCAGTCAAAATGTGGTAAATCCAAAATTGTCTTTCCACACTACTTTTTCTCATATTAAGGATACTTTAAGGCTTCATAAAAAACACTCACTGGTCCAATTGGACAAAATATAATTATTTTCTCAGGTGCTGACGGATTTCACTTTCTTTTGACCTATTTTTATATGATTAGACTGGTTATATTCCTAACCCAATCCCAGAAACGGACGACTCACAGGACGAGGAGACAGAGACTTATGCTACCGAAACTCCGGAACTCTATCCTCCACAATTATACAGTAGCGAACACTATACACCTACGACACTTAACACATTCAGGTTCAACCCCACGCAAAACGCACCCACAATGGGATACCCAGTTGCAATGGAACGAGACCCAGTAACATCTCGTCGCCGTGCAATGACCGCAGTGTCTCCACATTTCGTCGAGCAGACGTACAATTACGCGACAGATGGGAACAACCTTCGTGTTTATGATGAATCAAGCCTCTGTGATGATCTGGGCGATGAACCTCACTCGTTAACTTCACGAACCACCCCGAGTATGTTTCCTTATTCTAGGCCTCACGTTAGCAGGTTTGAACTCCTAAAATATACAAACAGAGCAATATAAGGAAAAGGTCTGAGAAAACATTCTTCACGTGTATTGAGAAGAACCAGCTTTGGACAACCCGTATAAAAAATAATATAGTTCATCATAAGAGATGGGAACTTTAATTTATCGCTATTGTTCGTTTTTTTGTTTAATCTGGTTTAGTTCTTTGGGATTTTGTTATTGGTTTGATGCTGAGGTGGACAGAATCAATATCGTGAATAGAAAAGACACGTCCTGTTTGAGTAAAAAATTAATATTTCTTGTTTCCAAGTGTTGTTCATGTTACAAGTAACGGTATGGGGAGACAAAAGATCAGATAATGCAACTAATAACGACAAAGGCACCATTTTCAGTGCTATAAGTAAGGAAGGTATCAGTTGCGAAAATATGTTTGAAATCAGTTGTATATTTCAGCATATTCATGAGACAGTTTGCAAAAGTATTTTTTTAGTTTCATTACAAAAGTCAAGATAATGACATCAAAAAAATACAAATCGGCCTCTTCTCGATTTTCGTGCCAAGTTGAAAACGTTAGAATGAAGTTATTCCCTACGAAACGGTCCGCAATAATACTAATAAAATTATTCACTCACGTGTGTTAGAACAGAAATTCCGTATGTTATTATGAGATTAATATACCGCATATATATCCATACCATTAAACAAATGTAATGGATTTCATATACATGAGAGTAAAGCTGTATTCTATCATTGAATTGGATTCAGCACAGTGAGCCGTTTATTGCAACGAGCTAGGTCTCGCGTGGCGACCGTGAGGCTATTTCGACCTTAATTCTTTGCATATGAAACACTATTTACATTTAAGATTTTCCTTTTCCTTTTACTACTTCCACTAAATGTCAGGAAGGTTATGAATGTGATAAGTGTGCATCGAAATAACTTTTAAAAGCATAATATTACTTTTGGCATTGATACTCGCACAAATTACCATATTTTTTATTTTCTCTCTGGAGTCTAAAACAACGTAGCACAGGTTATCTAGAGCCAGGCAGAATTTGCCATTACCATTTACGTTTGCACGAGCATTACAAGGGAAACTCTTACGTTTAAGCACCAGTAATACCCAGTAACAGTTACGTGTACCAAGACGTAAGCTGCCAGCTGACAACTTTGATTACTTGTCAAATTATTCAAAGGAATCGATGTGTTTGTTTTGTTTCCTAGAGCTCTTCTTTTTTATACAACCTAGGAAAAAATTCTTAATCTGAATAACACAACGCAATTCGTAATCGGCCTACCACATTTTGGTCATTCTGCTGTTTCCCTCAGCCATATTATTTGTTCGATTCAGAGATTGAATCATGGTATTATTCTAACTGATTACCCTTCCACGATGAACGAAATAGACTGCTGGCCAGGGATTTTCGAATACATCAGTAGAGCTATTTTATGGACTGCTCTCAGGAATCAAAAGGCTTATGAAATGACTTCGGCTATCAATCGCAGTCGAGACACAGTCGCTTCACAGGCAGTCAGTGGAACTGTTAATAGTATCGCACGTGTGGTTTCAATTTCAAGCCACCGTCATCATCCTAAAAATTAAGATGCGTTCAAGCTCAAATCCGTAATCCTTCGTTCGATCCGAATCCAGTGACTGTTGTTTGGATGAAGCTATCTGGAATCATATTATAATCAAGTATTTTGTGGTACATTGACAACTCTAATAGTTATTACTCCAAATACTCTTTTGCACATCTTAGGTTGATACCTTTGTGTATTTCAAAAGAATAATATAGTACTTTTAAGGTATTTTATTTTTTCACGATATTCGTTAGCAAAACGTTTTATATCGTTGCACTGTTAAGTACCTTCGGTTTTGGGTGGTCTTTCAAAAATAACTTGCCTCTATGAAATACAGTAATACAAATAATTTTCGGAATTTATTTATTTTAATTCTCTTTTCTAGGTAGCGGGCAACGTGAACATATAATGTTCACAGAATATAGCTTCCTTATTGCATCTAATTATGTTCAATATACTGTTGGTAATACATTGGTATTCACTTTGTCTAACCGTGCAGAACCATTCCGAAAGATGTCCTACGACCACAGACAACGGGAACATTCTGGTACTAGAAGGTTCAGTGGATCACAAGAATCTGCAATGGGACATTTGGGCAGCACAAGGGTCAGTGTTTGAAATATACCCAAGTGTGTTTTCTGATGACTTGTTGTCAAACGTAAATGAAATGAATGAGTCAATGGGTTTACTGTCTTTGTGTGCTGTTACTGTGCATCCTTATTGAAACTTTTGTGTGTAGTTACGAAAATTTCCGAACGAAATTATCTCGAATTTACGTTGAATAAATTATTTGTCAATTAATTGGTCATCAAATCGGTTGGTATAGTCCATGTATCTGCAGTACAACTCCGAATTTGCTCATAGTTTCCCATCACATTCCCTAAGAGTTTCCATCAAAATCTAAAGGGAAATCTCTTTAATATCAGCTAGACTCGTTCATTCGTTCACGTGTGTCTAATGGTCGTCATTAAAGAAGTGATTAAAGATGGAACATTAAATGTATTGGTGTCTCGTTAATATGAGACTAGGAAAGAAGATAATACGCCTTAAATATACAGCTAAAAAAGCGCACACAGAGGTAACCAGTCCAGATTAAATTCTGATAATCCATAAAACGAAAGGAAACTTTGACTTCACGAATCTGTCCAATATTTATTTTGCTGAACGTTTTGTCGCAATCCTCATTATTTCAGCCATGTAAAGACAATGCACCCGATGCACTCGATATGGCTTTCTTTCAACGCCGACGCTCGGTCAATTTGCCAAATGAGTACGTTTAAACGACATTTGTCTTCCCGGTAATATAATATCATGCATTATGCAGTTTACGGTTAAAAGTTATGAATAAATATTTAACAGAGATGAAACGTTCCTAACCACATTACACTGTTAGGTAACCGTGTTTTAGGCCAAGTGGGATATTTATTGGGTGGTGGTGGCGCAGTGGTTTAGTCGCTGTCACCAGCATGCTCTGGGCCCTATGGTTCGACGTTCGAGTCCCGCCACCGCCACCCGACTTTGGTGGTAGGCAGCTCTGCTGTCGTCCGGTTCAATACCACGCCTAACCTATCAGGACCTCATGTGGTTCGCCACTCCAAGTCCCGGGGCATAGGTAGCCGGTTACCATCACTGAAAAGCAGTTCATCGTGACTATGGGGTTCGCCCCCTCTACTGTTCATCATACTTAGGTGTGTAATAAAAAAATATATATAGTGGACTGATGTCTTATGTTCCAATTTACCATAAATATTGGATTTTTCCTTCCTTTTACGTGATATGTATTTAATGATGGAAATCATTTACGTATAGGAGGAGGTGGTCCAGCAAAGGCCGCGTAGGTGGAAATGGTCGGTGGTAGTATCCGAACACATGTGCTATTGGGCAATAACGTTGATGTTTACACCTTGATTATATGATAACACTATCACTATGAATTTTGAAATTCAAGTGAAATCGTTGTATTTATTGAATCTGCCGTATATTTCAAATGTATTGATCAATCACCCAGATAGTGATTGGTGATTCTATCATCACACTCCACTGCTTCAACTGGTACAATATCGGTTGCGAAAACTGAAACTGATTGGGTCAGTTCAATCAAAAAGGCAGTCAGCTGGAATGAACTAATCTCTTCGTAACCCAACAAAGTACTTTTGAGTGGGTTCTCGCGTGACAATGAAAAATTCGGCCGCATAGCGTCTGACTGTTCTCATCCTCCCAGCAACATTGTCCTTGACCGTTGATCGAGTGAACTTGAGATGAGACTCAGTTTCAGTTTTTACAACCATTAACCATGCACTTTCGTGCGCAGGTTTTGGTTGCTGTCTTTTGAGACCCAACTAGGTGGATACAATTATCTAGTGGTTCCTAGATTTTCAATTGACGCCTAATTTGCTCTATACATGACTAGTTTCCTCTTTTAAGTTTATTCAAACCCTCCATTACTGTCATTTAAAACCCGATCTGAGAAATCATTTTGTTTTTGTTCCCATCTATTTATTGGATAGACGAAGCAATGCATCGGAATAATTAATTTTTAATCCGCCCATTTTTCATATCATTATCTAGTTAGATGGATAAGAGCGTTGGTTATGCAAAACCTTAATAAATGACGTTCTACTATGGTCTAAATGTTCTTTGAATGATTTCAAACCAAAAGTCTATTCGAACAAAAAGAGCCATTGCGGAAGCAAGCAACGTATTGATAGAACCATACAGAATACCAAACCAAACAGACAGAATCAATACCGAATAAATATTTTCGTCATAATGATGGTAAAACTTGTACTTGGTGTGGTTTTAGAAGGTCTGCTGGTTATTAACCTACCTGAAGCATGACGATTTTCGGACGGCTTTCAAATGTGAAGTGATGACCTATCGATCATTTTCATGATGATTTTTAACCGCATATTCATAATAAGGTATCCCAAAATATGTTTGATGTCAAGTAATCAGTTCTGTTTGTATCTGAGGTTGATTATAGGATATCTTTTCTACCGAACCCTTCAGTTTCGACTACATGGATCCTCATTGGCGAATGCAAATCCAAACCACTGGGCCGGATTTCAGAACTAAACCTCAGGAACGAATGTTCTCATCTTCAACGTCAAACCAGATGCATTTTCTGATTAATGACCCCGGCTATGTTCACGTACGAGTTCCCAGCAGACAGGAAACAAAAATTCCTTACGGTGTTCATGTTTATCAACGCGAAACTGCAATCCCAAGATCCTCAGCATATCTACGCTCATGCCCCCCTGATGCTCGGCCACGATCGTTGTGCGATAATCTGGCTATGTTACGTCAAAATGCGGATGTATTGATGGATCAGACAATTTTTTCTCCAACAGCCAGGCAACAACCCATGGATCCATTTTATGGGAAGCCATATTATAGACCCCCTGGGAGAAAGACATATTCTGAATGGGATATTTCTCGAGTCGGTTTGGACGATAGCCAACCAAAGTGAGCTTTTTTATCTGTGTTTGATAGTATTAATCTATGAGAACCTTAAGAATTGATTGAGTCACGCAGCGTCAAAAAATAATTACTTGAGAAAAACTTTTTTGAGTTGCTGTTTATTGCTGACTTTTTGATTTTGTAATCACTAATCTACATTTCAGGCCACTAGATTCATCATACATCAAATTCTGAAGTGCACCTTACGCTGTTTATTCCGAGCACTCCATCCACTTAAGAATACTTGAAACTGTAGTGACCATTTTCCAAACTGTATCTTCATGCAAAATCCTCAGTTCTCCTAGTCAACCACACACATGTGCAGCATTAAACTTGAGTTTTACCCTAAAATGCCCATCATTAGTACATATTCACTGTCACTTCAAATCAATAACAACTACCCCACAATACCACTCACTAATAACGGTAAGTTAAATACAAATAATTAGCTCTACTTTAGGCTGTTTATTTAGGATAGTACACTTAGAACTCTAACGAATACCTGATTTACTGGGAGTATTTCTAGTAGAGTCCTCAGGATACAAAGTGTTTCTCTACGTTGCAGTTGGGTCAAAATCAATGGCCAGCTATCTTTGAGGAATACGTCTGAACAAACATTGCTCAGTAATTCTGAATGCTCCCGGTGTGAGCTGGTTGGCATAGGAATAACCGCCTTTCCATGCCGTGGGTCCTCAGTTTAAATCTCGGACAGGCTTGTTGGTGTTCAGTATAGATGACCTCTAATGTTAGTTGAGTGCTGCTGAATGACCGGAATATTGTGCGTGAAGAAAGAGATTGGAGGAAGTTCAATTTGTATATATACATTGTTTTTCATTGTACGTTGCTTTTCAAACCATCTTTCATGTATAACCAAAATTAATGGTTCCACTAAATTGTTTTTTCAGTTCGGTGCAAATCCGTTGCCAATATGGAAACTCTTATACGTGTGGT